CAGACATGGAAGCTCATTAATCCACCAGCAGAGAGCAGTCCATCCCCAGTAAACCCAGTACCAAAGGCGGAAATGAGAAAGGTCCGATCCAACTCTTTCATACTGTTTTGGCATTAAGAAATGATAAAATGAGATCCAACAGCCGCCATGTTTTTCTGTCAACCTGACCAAAAATGCCATAAACCACAAACATTTTTTTTTAAAACAATTTTATTTAAAAAGTGTCATGTTCCCTTTGAAAATCTCAAGCATATCTCTTAGTGCTAAAGCTTGCACAGCCTCGTGCTCTCTAGGAGTAAAAGATACAGTTCATCAGTAACTTTGGCAAAAAAAATAAAAACAGAAACACAACAACAGGCAGAGCTCTGTACAAAACTAAAAGGAAAACACACGGGCGTGTACAAAACCTAATCACTGGCAATGCTTCTGCTCAACACATTCAAGAAAACAGCAGCCTGCCATCGGAAATCGACGATTCTCAGAGTGAAGCAGAGCCAGAGAGACAGAAATACAGGCCGACCCTGGAGTGTTTTCAGTCAGGTTAAAACGTGTGTGTGCGTGTTGACAGGAGTGTAGGATATTACGAAGCTGCTACACGGAGGGGCCAGATGTGTCTTCTATAACGGCCAGAGGTTCTAACTTGAGCAGTAACGTCCTGAGGTCTCACAGAAAGAGGCACAGAGGGTTTCTGTTTTTCTATATTTTAAGCTTCAGAAGGGCTCCTCTGTTCCTTTACATCAAGACAACACTGTGTGATATTGGGAACAGTTCTTCATGCACCAGCTCTGATCCATGTCTCAAAACATGACTTTGAGTCAAGCAACGGATAGTCATCTCATCGGCTAAGACAATCTACTGTAAGGAGTGTCGTCTAAATTGTAAGTATGACATTTGATATGATATTTTTCACGTAGAAAACCTTTTGCTCAGGAAACCCTTAAAACAAACAGTACAGCACTGAAACAGGAACAAAAAAACTCAACGTTGACACTGAAAGTCTTATGAACTAATTGTTTGTCACTTCTAAAATGGAGGGCAGACATTTACTGACGTATATAAAAGAAAGAGGCAAACAAGAAAAAACTAAAAGTTGAGAATCACCTGCAAAATTTCCGAACAGAGGCAATGCAGAAGTGACACCACGGCAGCATATTAAGTTGAGAGAGAGAGAGAGTCGACCCTGATCACACATCCTGGACCTTCATGGCCTCCTGTGGCCAGCTGTATGTGTCCAGGGTGAAGGAGTCGTAATCAGGACTGTAGATGTGAGACAACACGAACGCCTCCTTGTCTTTCGGCTCAGGATAAACCGAAGCAATGTTGTGCTTGTATGCATAGTTGACGAGCTGCAGGAGGAGGAAACGGAGGGAAAGCATGAAATCAAACCACGTTGTTTGGCATAAAACAGCAGGAAATAAAAGTTCATTTATGGAGCTGTTCGACATTTATATGGAGTTTGTGTTCCGTTAAAGGTCAAACTGTCCACAGGTGAGATGCTGAGTCTTCCTCACTATTCAAAAACCACAGATTGAACTCCTCCTGCTTCATTCTGGGTGTTCATGTGAACCAGCAGCAGTGAACAAAGATGGAAATTAGCTTAAAGCTAACTCTGGTGCAATACATCAAATGGCCCCATTTATCTCTAATATTGCACACGGTCCCTTTTTAAATAAATTAATAATGATAATAACAATAATAAATGCAAGCTTGTGCAGAAGTTTTATGTTATTCTGTATCCTTACATGTTGAACATAAACCCATTCCTGCTTGTGATAAACACGTCTGGTGTCACTGAGCGTGTAGTTGATTTATCACTGAAGTGTGTCACTGATATATAGACATGTCAGGCGTGTGCACAATAAATCAACTCAGACCACCAACAGGATTGTACATAAACAATTTGATTTCATTGTAATTGTCATGTTGTAAGGTGATCTGTCCTCCACTTGGTGCTCGTAAACATGAGTTCCTAACATTTAACATTACGCAGCTCACAAGCAGACGCATATTTACATCAAATTTGATTCAGAAGTAAGTTTGTATACACGTCTGTCACTTCATTATTTCATCCAATGAGACAGTTGTGCGAAACTGTGTCATAATTAGCGAATATATCCACGATTAATGTCCAGAAACATGTATTGTAATGCCTCTGTGACCTTTGAACAACAAAATCTGATCAGTTGATGGATGAGTCCAAGTGAAGTATGAGACGACAGACAGGTGACCCAAAAACAGCAAACATATAAACAATACTGTTATTAACAGGGAGCAAATATCAATATCATGTGAATCAGACTAATACTGTCTAAACACTGGAGCTGGTCACAAATAAATCCCCACTTCATTATTTTATCCTTTCAACATTATCACAATTAAGAGTATGAATCTTCTATATCTTGTGTTATGACCACAGACGTGTTTAGTGCCCAATATGAAGTGATCCCAGCTGGAACATTTCTCCCTTTAAACCAAGATCATGTTTTTTAAGAAAGCCACTGCATAAAAAAAATCAGCATTTTCAGGCAGCCTATAAAAACTCCACAGAGCTGAAGATGTCATTAATACACTCTGGTTGACATTACGATGCCCGGTTGTGATTTTTGTATCACAAATAATCAGACCACACACTTCACATTATGCTGATCGAGGTTACATATCAGAAGTGACGTCTGTGTAAAGATCACCTACCTTCACTGCAATCTTGAAGGACACCTCTCTTATGGTGCTGAGAGGAGGATAAAGTCTTCCTTCAGCCAAGTGTTCCTCTGTTACCATGTCAGCGATCGCCTGGGAGAGAAAGGTGGACAGATTAGTTAAATGAATATGAAGTGGAGGATGAGTGCAGGAGAGATGAGGTTTGTCTTCCAACAGTTCCTACAACAAGAGGGAAGTGAGCGTCAAAAGACATTCACATTACTTTTAATTATGGTCTGAAGAAAGGGGATGTGGT